TTAGGAGAAAGAAAGAGAAACGAAATTTAGAAAGAAAGAAAGAAAGAAAGAAAGAAAGAAAGAGAAACGAAATTTAGAAAGAAAGAAAGAAAGAAAGAAGGTTAGGAGAAAGAAAGAGAAACGAAATTTAGAAAGAAAGAAAGAAAGAAAGAAAGAAAGAAAGAAAGAAAGAATGAAGGTTAGGAGAAAGAAAGAGAAACGAAAAGAAGAAAGAAAGAAAGAAAGAAAGAAAGAAAGAAAGAAAGAAAGAAAGAAAAAGAAAGAAAGAAAATATGATATAAAAAAGCAAAGACAAAGACATAAAAAACGAAAGAAAATTCTACGGGGAGAAGACGACAATAAAGAATGTATTAATGTAAAGACACAAAAAGGAAGAAAATAAATTATGAGAATTTTTTCAAAATGAATAATAATACAAGAGAATAACAAATTTCACTTGAGAAAAGATAGGTAGAGAGTTACAGAAAAATAGATAAAGAAGAAAAAATAGTAATGAAAGTATTACGGGTAAAAGAAGTATAGAAGAGAGAGAGAGAGAGAGAGAGAGAGAGACTAAATGAGAAAAGGGAGAAAAAAAAACTAATAAATAGATGAGACAAAGAAGAATGAATGGAAAAGAATGGAAGGAAAATGACCAGAAATAAATACACTCATGTCGGGAGAAAGAAAGGAAGATATAAAAACAAAGAAACATTGAACAGGAATACAATACAAAAATACGAAAAGCATAATAATGAGAGAGAAAGAAAATTTCGAAAAGAAAGAACAGAAAAAAAAAAATAGAAATGAGAAAACACGAATTAAAATGGCGAATGACAAGTGAAAAAAAAAAATTTAAAAAGCCAGAGAATTAACTTAGTAAAAGAAATAAGGTTAAGTAAATAGAAAAAATGATGAAATTATCCAAGCTGATGGAGTGGTTATAGCCTTGCAGTGTAAAGATGAGCGAAGTGAGAGATTTTTTTAAATGAGGTTTTGCCATTTATTTATTTATTTTCTCCTTGTTCTTTTGCAAATTGTCACTGTCCCCATTAACGGTGTGGTTGTTGCTGCTTTAATTGTTGTCATTGACGTTTTTGTTGTTACTGCCATTGCCGTTGTCTCGAACGCTTTCCACACTTGAGTCAGTGCTGGCTGAATGTCAGCTCGACTCCCGATGGTCAGGTGTCATCGCCAGGTTTTTACCAATTTCCGGTAACTTTTCCGGATGTTTCTCTTCGCGTGGACACCGATAATTAGCTTACTCGCACATTTACCTCTACCCTCGATAACACGCTTTCTCTGTTCCTTCGTTCGTTCGTTCGCTCCTTCGTTCCGAAATTCTTTCCTTCCTTCCTTGCTTCCTATCAGTCTATCTGATGATTTCTTTCTTTTTATTTGTTTGATTATTAACGCTCAAATCTATCAATAATTCACTCATTTTTTTCGGCCCTTAGTCTTTGTCATTTTCCCTTGTCTTTATTCTTATTCATTATCTATCTATCTATCTATCTATCTATCTATCTATCTATCTATCTATCTATCTATCTGAAGTCTTTTCATATCTATCTATCTATCTATCTATCTATCTATCTATCTATCTATCTATCTATCTATCTATCTACTTTAATTCTTTCTTGAATTATCTTTTCTTTCTTTTCTGTTTTTATCCACTATATCTATCCATGTAATTCCTTCATTTCACCGTTTTTCACGGTTCTTGCTGTTCTTCCTCCTCTTCTTCTTTTACTAAAACAACAAAAACAAATACTACTACTACTACTATTACTATCTCTCTTCTCTCTCTCTCTATCTATATATATATATATATATATATATATATATATATATATATATATATATATAAGAAAGAAACAGTAAGATATATAATCCGGTATTCTTATAGATATTTTTATTTTTTACAAAATCGAGCTCAATGTAAATTTACAGAGCATTAATATTATAAATTAATTGATTTAAAATATTTTTCGCTACACAGTTCTAACCATGTTTCAAAAATGAAAATATATATATATATATATATATTTTGTTTTCATTCTTTTTTCTACTATATTATCACCGTTTTTATTTCGCTTCATTCACTCATAATTTCCTTCTTTCTTTCTGTTTTATCATCCATACTCTCTCTTGTTTTTTTTTTCTTTTTATTTGTCACCATTGTATTTGTTCTTCATTCATTAATTTATTTATTATTAAGTAACTCAATTTCTTTCTTTCTTTCGTTCTTTCTTTTCTGTTTCTATGCATTTGTCTATTATTACTTTCTTAATCGCTGTTGTTTTCCTCTGTCGCCATGGGATGTGGTCGTTATTCTTCCTTTATCTATCAATGACTTTTTTTTATCAAAATGTTCGTTTTTCTTTTCAACTCATAACTTCCTCTGACCATCTTCAGCAAAAAGAACATGGAATGACATTTCAAATATCTACTTTTAATAGATATTAACTCTTTTGCAGATCGCTCCTATTCCCCACCGACTTCACTAGAAACAGAGATACGCATTTCCCTCTTAATTTAAAGATTCTGACCACAAGATGTATAATTTTCTTTTTCTTTTTCCTTCTTTAGATGTCCCGTGTCATGCATGCTTGGATGTACATGTTTCTTTTTTTATTAATGACAGACTTAGAAAAAGAATCCCCGTAGTAGGCTACCGTTAATATCTACAGTAGTGTGGTTGCCAATCAAAGCCATAGAACCCATTAATTTAATCCCGTTATTTAACCCATAGCTAGGGGTGGGAGATAATAGATGCATTCTTACCTTTCCTAAATGTATTTGCGCGTAAGTGACTGTAACGAATTTGATTGGATTTCAAATTCGGGTCGCTGATGTCTCATTTTGAAACGTTAGCTACCACACCTCCCGCATATCCAAGCTTACAACACCTGCTATTCCCAAAAGGCCACCCATCTAAGTATTGTGTATCCTCAACTTTGCTTTTCGGTGATGAGAGGAGAACCCGTATTTCAACGTGATATGGCCGTAATTTACGTCTGAAATTAGGAAAATATAAAATTTCTCAGCTAAAAAATTGACGTATCTGTGTATATTTCTGAGATTTACATTATTCAGACTATTGTCCTCATTTTTGTCGTCATATTTATTACAACGTTTCGGACGTTGTACGCTCCGGCCTTCATCAGGTTGTTGGAATGCCGAACTGAGATGTCAGTTATCAGTTATCTCCTGTTAATTGCCCTTTCCAAGTTCTCCACTGGCTTATCCGGGTACTGAACTCACACTCTTTGGATCCTGTCACTGGATCTAACTAACGCCTTTATCCACTGTGCCATGTGTGCTTAAGGGTCCATTGACAGGACCCAAAGAGTATGAGTTCAATACCCGGTTAAGGCAGTGAAGAACTTGGAAAGGAGAATTAGCAGGAGATAACTGATAACTGACACCCATTATACATGGCACGTTGAACTAGATTAGTCTACCCCAGTGAGCTAAATAAAGGGTTCAGATCGACATTCCAACCACCTGAAGAAGGCCGGAGCATACAACGGCCGAAATGTTGTAATAAATATGGCGACAAAGATGAGGACAAGAGTTTTCTCAAGTCCAGTTGCTATTATCATTCTTTTCCAGTATTGATCAGGGTTTCCTTCGTAAAATTTTGTTTGAGGTTGTGTGAACAGTCAACATCGTGATTAGCTTTTTCGAGTTGCATATGCTATCTTTTTAGTTGTTATTGTTAGTAGTCCTCAAGGGATGTCGTTCCTGTTATTTGGTACAGTTTTTGTTTGTGAATCTGTAGCACCAGTTCACATTATTCAAAGAGCTGGTGGGGTGATCTTTGCCAAAGCCCTAAGTATCGACTTGCTCATATCCATTTGTAACTACTAGAATTAGGAAGCGGTTGTATACAGCCGACAGTTTAGATATTTCTGAACTGTTTGGTGTCATACTCGGCATTCATATGAACTGTTCGATCTGACGATGACAATTAAGAACATGATACGAGATTACAGGTTGATGTTTTGATTTCATACCTATATACGGTCTAGAGAGAAACTAGTTCTGGCGTAGTCTATTTTATGTTCAATTTCCTTTCCTCCAGTATGGACAAACAGAGGCGATTAAGTGGAAAGAGGGTGAACAGAAAAAAAAAAATTAGAAGCAATATCGATCCCGTAACTGGGGAGGGACATTAATAAATATATAATACCTCTTGAGTTGTTTTTGTCAGAATGGAATGTTTCAGTTGTGGTATAGACAAACGGGTGGTACCACTCTTGATGACGATTGTTTCCCTAAAAACAAAAAATTCTCCCTCAGTTGGATACATAGTAGTTGGGTATATTTAGGGGAAGTTTGTTGAATGTCTTTCCTCGATGTAAAAACAGCAATAAGATGGGTCAATATAATTAATGGTTATTCTAGAAAGAAAGAAGAGACATACCTTAGGGGCCACAGTGGCCAGTAGCTGGGAATGAGAAGACCGCTGCGATTGATTAACTCACTGGAGCCGTCAAACGAATGATGATTGCACAAGCCTTCATAGTTGCGCTTTCAATTTAGCGCATTCTTCCGATTACTCGAAATCTGCCAAAAGTGCGTTTTCCGATGGCTAACAGACTCCACGAAACAGCAGATAGTTGCTGCTACCTAAGAGTGATTAATTAGTTGCTCCAAATTGATAAAAAACAGCACTCGGTGAACATGGGTTTGCTAACGATGATAAGATTAAGGAAGTAATACGTACATGGTAAGAGAGCAATGTCTTCATTCAAATTCGATTATGTTGAATAGTTGAATTAGAACCTTGAAATGCTTGTGCTCGTTATATACATTTCATACTAGTACTGTTAAATATTTCGTAATTGAAACAAAATGATCCTGAACATTACGCAACCGTCGAGAAGGAAGAACAAGGTTTTGATGGGACTAAATTTAAAATAATGGATCTGTTATGTGTGTATGCTTCTTTTCTTATTGGATGTTTTAGAAAAGAACCATTGCACCAGGTTGACGAATGAAGGAGACAGTGTGGAAAATTAGACTGGGAATCTTGAGTTTTTGTTATCATTTTTGGTATACTTGGAAAGTTCCTATGGCCGAGTGAGAAATACGTTAGGTTTCTCTATCATGAGGCACAAGTTCAAATCTCACCATGGTCAACAATTTGGAAGTGATTTCAAGGAAGTGATTTCATGGTAATAACAGATTGAGGTGACAAACCCCGCGTCTGCTACGTTTGGGAAGTGCATAAAAAATATAAAACCGGCTGATTTAATCATTTTTGGTGAAACCTGGTAGAAGAAACTGTTCGAAAGTCGGCGATGGTTGTGTTAGCACAAAATCAGAAGTCATCGTGACAGAGGTTTGGATCGTACTGGCCATGCTCAACAGGATCTCTCTCTCTCTCTCTCTCTCTCTCTATCTATCTATCTATCTATCTATCTATCTATCTATCTCCCTCTGTGAAAAACAGAACAATATCTTGCACACTAGATTCGGAATCCGTAAACTTTTGTCTACTTCTTTTAAATTTTGTTTGCTTCTAATATTAAATGTGTTGAAATTAAAGAAGATTGCAATTTTTGTGTTCGTATTAAGCTTTCTGCTCTCCCAGCGAGACTTGGAGTCTACACTCCAGATAGAAGCGATGCCTCAGGGCGTTTCGTGTTCGTTGTCTGAGACGCAATTTGGGCATCAATTGGCGCGACCGAGTGATCGATAACGTAGTTCTCACCCGTGTCCATTTACCCAAACTATACGCCCTTTTCTAACAGAAGCGGATACACTGACTTGGACATGTACCCCCGTATGCTGGATAGGAAGCGGGGTTGCAATGTCGTGGCCACCGGCAAGAGAGCATGAAGGTGACCTCATCTTGGCTTAGCTGACGTCTGCCAAATAGACATGAGGGCGATGAACATGGACATCGAGAGGTGGGAAGACGTCGCCAACGATCGCTGGAGACGCGTTTTACACCGAGGGCTTGAGCAAAGAGCAGGGATACTGAGGCTTGCCGCGGGGGAGAAGTGTACACGACGGAAAGAAAACAACACAGCGATATCGGGGAAGAGCATCTTAATATGCATTCACTGGAATCGAGACAGTCACCCCACGTAACAGATGCTGCGACGCCATCAGCAGCTGAGGCATAACACTTCGGGCGCGGACCCATACACTCTCGAAACCGATGGATGCTCCATACAATTAAAGAAGAACTGGTATTACATTGGGAGGTTGTTGGGGGTAAATTCAAAACTTTTGAATATATACAGAAACGTTGGAGTGATTACATATTTATCAAGGGCCCTTGATTTGCGCATACTAATTAAGAATTATTAACACCCCTCTCTGTTCATATTTTGTCAGCCATCACAGTAATTTAGAATTTATGGGCTTCCTTTTATTTTTATTTCATAATAATTTGTGAAAAGAGAATATATACCGTACTAATTCTTCTTGATCTAGATCATGAGAATTGTAAGTAATTAGAGTCATTGCTGCACTATACAAAGAAAGCAGCAACTGGCGTATTTAAGGCAAGCAAGCTTAACGGAGCCCTTTCCTCTTCAGCCACATTTATAATTCAGTGATACGGAAGTTTAGAAGAAGGACTTCTTCTGATCTAGTTGGCAACCAAGGCCAGATAACCCGGCCTCCTTTGCTATTTAACCTATAGCATCGACCTATAAGTAATGGATTTCGGCTCAGAATGAGAACCAGAGAGCGGAGTTCGAATACCAGCCAAATTCTTTGCATTCACTTACAGTTTCTTCTCTCCCCACCTCAGTATTTCGTTAAATTGTAGGACAGGCTGGGTTCTATAACCTTGGCTGATATCCATTTTTAGAGATGGCAACACGATAAAATCGCCCATCTCCCAGCAAGACCCATGAAGATGCATTACAATATAAAAACGCACAATGATGGAAATTCTTTAGTCGTGTGAGAAGGGGTTTACTATTTTTCGCGTAACATAAAATTATACCTCCTACCAAATGGATAAAATTCGTACCTCTCTCCTTATCAAATAACTTGGTAGGCGACTAAGCTGAGTTCCTCACCGAGTTTTTTTTTAATGCAATGGGAGTTATTTGGCAGCGCCCATCTTCTCTCCAAGTAAAATCTAATAAACCGTATTGAGTTCGTATGTAATCAGCAGAGATCCTATATGCTGAATTAATCATATCTTATTGGAATCCTGGGAGGCGTTAAGATGTTTTAATGGCTAATAACATATCATATGCATCTGATATCTCACGTAGTTTGTGTTATCTTTGAATTCAAGACATCAGAAAAAGCATGAATCCAATTTTCCCTATGTATCAGATTCCTCCCTAGCGTTGACACTAAAAAGTTTTCTTTTCTGTTAAATACGATATCAAAGAGTTTTAGAGAACTATTTGAAACGCTGAATACCAAATTCATAAAAATTCTTGAATAATACTGGCTTGTATGTAAAACAGTAAAATCCCTGCTCGCCTGTTATAAAATAGGAAATAGGAAATGAGCCGGCGTTCGAATCGAAATATCCATCAGCTTAGAACCATAACAATTTATTTGATAAGGATATAGTTAGGCATTTTATCCAGTTGGTACGAGGTATCATTTTATATTCCGCGATAAACTCTTTCTGCGTCTGCGGTAGAATGCACAACTTACATGACTAAAGAATTTCAACCATTCTGCTTTTTTATGAGTCTATGCATCTCTACAGATGGCCCAGACTTGTTGGAAGAGGGGTGATTATATCGTGTTATCATTTCTAAAACAGATGCAAGCCAAGACTATAGAACCTAGTATGTCCGACAATTTAACCCGTTGCTGGGGATGGGAGAGAAGAAAATGTAAGTGAATGCAAAGAATTTGGCTGGAATTCGAACTTGGCTCTCTGATTTTTATTCTGAGCTGAAATCCATTACACATGGACCGAAGCTACAGGTTAAATCCAAAGGAAACCGGTTTAACAGGCCTTGATTGCCAACTAGTTTAGAAGAAGAACATCGCTGAATTATAATCAGTTTGTGGCCCCGGTTTATTCTGGGTTCGCCCACAGAATTACTAACGTAAAATTTATACTTGGCATCATCTCATAACGTCAAAATACGGAGGTACATCGAAAGGTACCATGTGCAGAATCTGACTTCAAAATATGTCGAGGAGTGCAGCAATATAAATAGGAAATGAATACAACTGAAATCCGACAAAACGCACAAGAGGACAGGAAGTGGTATACTAAAACGATGGCAAATTTGGAGACATCTTTTCGAGAAGAAAATTGAATTCTCGAAGAAAAACCCTAAAATAAAATACCCTCTTATTTTGACAGAGTTCCGAAGTGAATCTTATAATAAATCTGCTTGTCATTCCATTAGCTAGCACGACCTTTACACCCTGTCAATAACATGAATAATGAACTATTGCCTTTTGACCCCTTGGAAAAACGGAAAAGAAATATCAGTGATGCTACTTGATTTCAGTGAGAAAATGAAAGAAAGAAAGAAAGAAAAAAAGGAAAGAGAGAAAAATGAAAGAAAAAAGAAAGAAAGAAAAGTAGAAGTGCTTAATGCCTCCTGATAATACCTCATAAACAATGGATAATTCCGCTTTGATCACATGGAAAGATATGAAAAGACATATCAGAGACGCTGCTTGGTTTCACTAAGAAAGAAAGAAAGATAAATAAATAGAATTGCTTAATGCCTCCTGCTAATACCTCATAATGAACAATTCCTCTTTGATCGAATGGAAAAATGGAAAAGACGTATAAGAGACGCTGTTTGTTTTCACTAAAAAAGAAAGAAAGATAGAATGAAAGAACTGCTTACCGTCTGCTTCAGTGAAATGGAATTATTGTCTATTGAGTTTTTTTTTCCTTTGCAACAACTTAACATATTAAACTCAAATATTTAATGATGCAAGAGGGGAATTTATACGGATATTTTATTGTCGTATAACTCGCCATGAGCTTATTTAATCATTAAATTAAGAATTAGGGTTCAGCAGAGAAATCAAATATGAAAACCGTGAAGTCTTCACTTGTACTTCTAATAAACAAATATTTTACGCATAAAAAAGTTCGTCTTGCCTTCTTGATCACAAAGCATTTACATAATCTCTTGGACGATACGGTCTTGTTTACCAGGAAATGTCGGAATCGTTTCCTTCTGGATGCGCATAAAATTATGTCAGTGATGAAAATATATTATGTAAAGATATCACATTTTAATTTTTGCAAGTCTAGCTCAGCAAATCCAAATAACGTGTGGCATAATGTCTTGCGCCAAATCTTTCAAGTGAAGAGACCGTGTGTACATCGAACAACAACATTAACATTCGATATAAAACACTTATGTCAAACACAGATATTCATTCAAAAAATAATCATAATTACTCTTATAAATTTGAAGCCTCCAATTACAGAATCTGTACTGGAATTGAGAAAATTAGCTTTACAGGCAGTGGCTTTTGACCCTTTACAAGACCAAAACGGACATTAAAATAGAGGGGTACTGAGAGAGTTTGTTGTCTAAGAGTTAAGAATAAGAAATAAGAAATTCAGTTACTGAGGACATGGAAGGTTAACGGCAAATCCTCGACTTGAAGAGATTAAAATTATAGTGGTCTGGAAAGTATTCTTTTGGGAGTCTGTTCCATAATGTAATAGTTGGTGGGATAAAGCTATTCGAGTGGATTAACTTTCTTAATAATTAAATAAGCAGGGAATTAGGGTGGCGAGATTTAGCCGTGAAGAGTAGAACAGGTGGAAGTGAAGTAATTCGTTTGAACATTTTCCATGGGAATAGCGATAGTTAACGAGAGGCTTGCAACGTCTTGTATGCAGGAAAGTAGATGTAGGGTAAAAAATAATTCACCCACCAGTGGTTGTAGAAGCTTTGGAACTCCATCAAGCTTCGGTCTTGTGGAAAGAAGGAAGATAAAAGAAACACAAGATAAAAGCCATGAAATCAAACCGAATAGTGCGCTGTGAGATACAAAGAAATAAAAAAATAATTGTTGGAAGAAGAGTACTTTTTTTAAAAAAAAGTGCGAAGTCTTTAGTGACAGCAATATTAACAAAGAAAACAACTCGTGGAAAGAGAAACACGGAAACAAAAAAAGGCAGAAAGGAAATTGAGGCAAAATGGATGAAGACAGAAAAAAAGAATGAATGAAAAAAGAAACGCAAGAAACGAAAGAGAGCGAGAAAGAAAAAATAAAATAATGGCGGCAAAGAAGAAAGTCAAGAAAAAGAAGGAAGTGGGACTATATAAGTAAGGAACAATACAGCCTGATAGGTACCGGTATGTTTTGAATGAAAATTTAAAAGAAACTCTTCATAATAGTACCGTTATCATTTTTCTGGATTGTGGCTGGTCAACAAAGAAGTCTTTCAAAATGTTTCTCCATAAGATCTGTTGCATCATCAGATACTTAAGCAATGGTTTTGCCACAAGTATGACAAAATGGATAATGAAAACGACTTAAGTTATCTTAGAGATTCTTCAATGTTTTTTTAATCCTTTCACACGAAGCAAGTCAATAAGGCCACTAAGAGAAAAGGAGTTAATATATTTCAGAGAATATGAGGAAAAGAATCATTATTAATGGAGAAAAACAAAAGACAGCGATTGACATTGCCTTTCAATTTTTGAAGATCGAAGCTGACTCGAAAACAAGAAGCCTAAAATGAACTCCGCAAGCGAGAAGTGCGAGAGAGGAAACTGTTAGCATAGAACTTACGGTCACAAGTAGTCATTTCAACTATAAAATAATTATACTTTTCCATCAATCATTTAGTACGCTTAAATTCAGTCTCTTTACGAAAGAAAAAAACACACCAGAACAAGAGATTGTTTGAAGATGAGATTCAAGGTCAGAAAAAAATATTGATTCGTCTTTGTACTTTATCTAGAATCTCTAAATATGTAGCAGAAGAACCAGACCAGTGTGAGAGCAATATTCAATGCATGAAATAATGGTTGATTTGTAAATACACATGATAGATTATTGTTAGGCATGGATTTCTTAATGCCACGTATTATTTGCCAAGAACAGCATATTAATATTACTACACATTGACTTAAAAGGATTTGTCACAATGTAATAATCGAAATATATCAAAATCTATTACTTAAACTTTACGGAAGGTTTCCTTCCTTGGGGTTTTAGCGTGACTTGAAATTACTGTCCGGCTTGTAATTTTTGACTAATTATGGTTACCGGTTGCACTTTCAAGAATGCCTTCTGCTGCCAACGTTTAGTACACCTCATACTTCAAGTGAAACGTATATATATGTTCCACTCTCAAAGATGTTGATAAAATGGTCTCTTCGTATTAACGCTACAGAAAATAGCTGAACATGATCATTTTTTACGAGAAAATCATCAGAGAAGCATGGATTATTGCTCCTATTTCTGTCATGGAGAAACTCAAACCTCACTTTCGATGCCTGAATTCAAACACTTATACGCTACCTAGTGGGTGAACAATTATTTTCCAGCCTACCACCCGTTTTCCACAGATGCTAATATAGCATGTCAGAAAATCTTTCACGAAAATAACGCTTAAGAAACATGAGGTTTGCGACATTGCATCTGTGGAAAACGGGTGGTAGGCTGGAAAATAATTGTCCAGTGAAAAACACATTGATCTAAAAATTCAGTAAAAATCAAATACGTGTCGGATTCTAATGAAACTTTCAGAAATTATTCACAAATTAATGGAATTGTTTTTGGCATTTTTGTTAGAAAATTTTTGTAAAAATAATTTATTATTTTAAATATGGTACCCCACCTACTTACTTAATTTGATAAATTTCGAATAATTAAAATTTCATCGCAATTTTTTTTTTATTAGTTAAAAGCAAAACTCCTGGGAGAATGAAAATCATAATTTCTTGTTTCAAACTACTAATCATTTCTAGAAACTCAGCTCCGAATCTTAAAATAAAAAGTGCAATAAAATTGACATTATTTAATTAGAAATTTTTTTAATTGCTTTTTGTAGATAAGATTTATTAAGTACATTATTATCCTAAGAAAAAAAAAACGATGAATATTTTTTAAAAGAATTGTTTACATTTTTTAAAATTTTAATTTGTTTTAATAATATTTAAAAAATCTTATAAATATCTACATTACTTTAATCTCGTTAGGTGAGATTGTTATCAAGTGAAAACTATATTGACGAATGAAAAATTCAAAAGGTTAATACAAATCATATTGCACCAAAAATTTTAAAATATTTTTTTATCTATATAAAATAAACGTGCCCATTTTCGAATGTATGGACGACCATAACCGACATTATCAAAAAATAAGAGCGATGACAATAGTAAATTTAAATTCAACATTTTTAAAATTAGATTACGGATAACATTTTCTAATATTACTGAATACTTACATAAAAAGTGCGCTTACGTCATTTTCTTAAATTATGTTTTACAGATAAAGTTTCCGTAGAACAACAATCATTATGTCGTCACCTATCGCATAAAACTTGGCAATGTCGGTTAAAAATAAACTTACACTTTAAACTTTAAACTTACAGTAAATAATATTTGTTTCAAATGAGATTAATTATGCATTAAATCAGTTAATGTATATCGAATAAAATTTCAGAAAATTATATTTTATTTTTGGATGTGTTTTTTTTTTTTCATACAGAGAATTACATTGCGATGAAAGACGACTAAAAAGGGGCGCTAGTCAGCTATTTTAGTAAAAAAAAAAAAAAATAGATTTCAATCAATATAAATTCTTCTTGAAATACGTCAGATTATTTTTTCGTACCGGAAATAGTAAATTTAATCCTTTAGCTTTCAATCAAAGCTAAAATGAATGCTTCAAGAATTTTTTTTTCATTTATAAAAATTCATTTAAATCTTAGGAATCGTAAATCAAATCGAGACGTCTTTTGCTATATATGAAATTTTGATGGTTATACAGAGGGAAAAAAAATTCTTAAATTTATATGTTAGACATTTTTCATATTTAACCAATACATGTAATTCTCTGCTGAAATGTTTGCATTTATTCGTTGTTTTTCTTTCGCGTTTACATGTTTGTCTTCTCTGCAGTACACACAATATAATTAATAAAGTGAACTTCTGATTCATTTAATGTACAGTATTATTTATAATAAGAAATATCATTATTTCATGAAAATTCACGCGTGCGTGTTTTTTGTAAGTGAGCTTTATCGAAAATATTCAATAAAAAAGAAAGAAAGAATTGTGTCCCTTTTTGCGAGCATGCGCAGTGAATTCACTAAATTACAAGCGTCATCGCCATTTTAATATTAAGGGAAAAGCCAATATAAGCATATGTGATGGGACATGAATTTCTACAGTCTATCTCCTGAGCTTGTCCAATGATGAAGTCAGCGAAACAACCAGCGGATATAGAAGGCAGCGCCTCCTACTTGGACGAAACAACTATAATTAAACAAATTGATTATAAAAATACAATGAAAATAATTGTCGAAAGCAATATTTTTGAGATTTATTAGACGGGAATATTCTCATCAGAAAAGAAAGATGTGAACGAAAAAAGCAGACAGGGCGAGGTTTAATTGTGCCCTCGAAAATGAACAGGCCCTTCGTATGAGTTGTAAACACCAGCGTCCTGAAGGCTTAAAAAAGTATCCATTAGATACTGCTACTCTACGCATTTTCTTTTTAAAAGACGGTTTTAATCTTTATTCTTTTTATATCACATTTTACGTCCTTTTTCTCACTTCTCATATGTCGTCTTACCTATGTTCATTTTTGTTTTATTTTCTTCTTCCCCATTTTGTTTGTTTGTTTGTTTTTCTTTCTTTCTATACATATTTCTTTCTATTCATATTTCTTTTTTTTTCATTTTATAAAATAAAAATATCACCACGCATTTTTTTAACTCTTTTCATGTTCCACTTTTTCTTTTATATGTTTTTATTTCTCTTTCAGTGCTTTTACGCATCTTTATGTGAAGCCTATATAGTTTCTTTATTTCTTTCTTTCTTTTAATTGTTCACTTCCTTTTTTGATTTTCTTAGCTGATAGTATTCTTTCTTTCTTTCTTTCTTTCTTTCGTTCTTTCTTTCGTTCGTTCGTTCGTTCGTTATTTATTTATTTATTTATTTATTTATTTATTACGGTTTTATTATAATATTATTCTCTCCCTTTATTTGGCCCGCCAGTTCCGGTTTTTTGTTCATTTTCGCATTTAATTTTCTTATCCAAATTTTTCTTTATTTTCCTCTTTCTTTTTTTCAACTTTTCTTTCTTCCGTTCAGCTAACGTTTCTTCATTTTCCGTTGTTTTTTTTTTTCTTTTTTCTTTCTTTACCCAATTTATTCCTGAATTGCTTGCTTTTCGGTCTATTTTATTTTTCTCACATTTATTCTTCCATTATTAACGAGTTTGTTCATTTAACAATTCAAATCCTACTCTACTTATAGTTATTGGTTCCCTGCCCTTTTCATTCATTTCCGACTTTTATTTACTTCTTTCTTAGTTTCTGCAAGACATACATGAGAACCTGTCTTTTTCCGTCAATGATTGTTTAACCTTTCTTTACAATACTCCTTATTCTTTCAAGTAGTGTCTAGTCCCCAATACAAAAACTGACAACGGTTTACAAACAGCGCTTTTTAAAACAATCTCTACCTATCCATACGAATGTATATTCCGGTCTGTCGAAATTATTTCCTATGTGTGCAGACATAAACAAAACCGCGTATACGCGCTAACCACACGCCTTTGCACACACATATAGCAGTATGCTTTTCAAGTGATTTTATTGTTTCCACATTTTAATGGTGTTATCACTTGTCTATTTTTAGACCATCTATTTTTTACATATTTCTTTATAAATAATCATTTACTTACTTTCTATGCTATATTTTGACGATTTTTCTTTGTCAACATCATATTCTGATTGTATTTGTTGTGATATCTCTATAGATATGCGCGGGTGAATAACTGTAAAAGATACTTCACATTTTTGGCAGCATTATTTACTCGTATTTCTGCAGTAGATGTTTTGCTGATATTATTCCACTATGTGGCGTATCATTTCAACACATGGTCAATAATGGCTCGCCAACATTCCCTATCCCTAGTGGCGTCTCTTTGTCAAAGTCAGATCCTTCATGTATTCAAACAAATTCAGGTGTCTCTCTGTTTTTCCCTTTCACTCTTGCCCTCTTGCCCTCTATATGCCCTGTGAAGGTTAAGTTTACCAATCCTTCCTTACTCAGTATCTGTCTATATTTCTGAGATGAGGTATTATGTAAACTATTTACATTATTCTGACTATTGTCCTAATCTTTGTTGCCATATTTATCACAACGTTTCGGCCATTTTACGCTCCGACCTTCTTCAGGTGGTTGGAATGTCGAACTGAACAACACTGTGCCATGTGTCCTTAAGTGAATAAAGGCGTTTGTTAGATCCAATGACAAGACCCAAAGAGTGTGAGTTCAATATCTGGTTAAGGTTGTGGAGAACTTGGAGAAGTGAATTAACAAGAAATAACTGATAACTAACACCCATTAGACGTGACACGTGGAAATAGAACAGTCTACACCAGCGAGAGAATTAAAGGTTTCAGTTCGACATTCCTACCACCTGAAAAAGGTTGGAGCCTACAACGGCCGAAAATAGTCGGAATAATGTAAAGATCCTTCCTTACTCATTGTGTTTCCAATAAATCTCAGCTGTCTCTACTTTATTCTGAGCATAAGTGTATTTTTGTTGCAATTTTTTAAGTCTTTCTCCTTGCTTAATGGCTCCATACATATAATTCTCAGTAGTCTGCTGTATACCCAAATTTATAATGTCTCCCGTTTTCTACTCATCCTTGTGCAGATTGTCCAGCATTCCCTGTCATATGTGAGGATGGACATCACATCGAAATCCAGCATTTTTTTTATTTGTTTCTAAACATTGTATGTTTTTTTTTTTATGTTTCTCAGCACTTTGTTTAATATCTGCAATTCCTCTTTCGCTAGTCCAATACGTATTCGGATTTCGGTGTCGCATTTTCAATGCTACATAAAACACTTCCCCAGTTCTATACTGACTTGGTGATGGGCATACTGTTTCCTAGCAACTGATGGCTACAATGTTTTCTTGTTTTTTATTACACTGTAGTTTAAGTCGCATAGGTTACATTCCGTGCCAGCCATATTGGCATGATTTATTTCCATTGATATACAGATTTATCTTCGAACACCACTCTCTCTCTCTCACTCTCTCGATATATATATATATATATATATATATATATATATATATATATATATAGATAGATAGATAGATAGATAGATAGATAGTGAAAGAAATGTAGGTGGACCCGTAAATGATAACCTATATTTTCAGATTACATACAAATACAATAAAATTTTCATAAACAATTATTGCATATAAAATTAAATGTTATTGGATACAATAATGCAAACAAAAACACTAAACATGTAATCAACGCAGGTGCTCCAACTGTTCTCTTTATGCATAAGCATCTTTGTGCATTAATTTCTGGAAATGCATCTCTGATGTAATTGTTCACATCAGCAACACTTCGCGGTTTTCGACTATAAAATCTATCACTGAATACACCCCAAATTAAAGAAAATATATTTAGTTATATGATTCTATATAATATTGCACAAACATTATCGCTATAGCATAATATTAACATAAACCCTATTCATCATACTGTCCCATCACTTTTGCGTTCTCCATATATATATATATATATATATATATATATATATATATATATATATATATATATAATCTATTTTAGGATATTAAAACATGTAAAAATCGCTACAAAATTGCAATTATGTTTCAACACCATAAATCTGTCTCTCCAGGCAATGTTAAACTACTGGCGAGTAATATCCGAAAATAGATAAGTATCTAATATGTATTGAGCTCTCTCATGATTTAAATGTTACATACAGTGGAATCACGATATATTTGTTTTCATTTTACCTGGATATATATATATATATATATATATATATATATATATATATATATATATATATATATATATATTGATGGATAGCGAGATAGGTAAGTTGTAGCCATATTATATTTTTAATTTCGGGCATGCGCATTGTGCATTTTTGAGTTTGTCGGCTGCACATTATACTAGACTCAGTTGAAAAAGAGTACCATGGCGCAATTCACTCCACAAGAAATGTGGAAACGTCATGCTCTACGGCTTCACATTGGTGTCGAATTCCAATACGAATATTTCAGAGTGTTTGAGTGTCAATTTGTACAATGAAAGGATTCGGAAAGAGTTGGATGAGTCTAATAGTGATTACGACGGTGTTTGAAGTGATCACTAGTGATTGAGACATTATGACTCCATCCATCTTCTAACAGCAGCCATGTAAACCAATGAGAAATGATGCTGATGAAACAGGAATCCATTCGTCATATTTCTAGGCTTTTTTCCTTAACTACCTCAGCAAATCGGCCTAATCATATTCATTGGTGGTGTGACCGTTTTGAAGTTAGTCAATAATTCCAATGTCTTTTGCATCCTCCCAAAACAGAATCCATTAGCTTCTCTGCAGATGATAAGACCTTAGTCATTTGTATCATGTGAGGAGGGTTGATTCAACTGTATCGATTGTTCAAAGAAGCCACCTGGATGTGCCTCAATGTCAGATTTCCCCGTGATGTGATCAGGTAAGTGAAGCTTTTCATCAGTTGTAAGAAGACGTGGCACCCACCGAACACAAAACATTTTCATGCCAATTTCCTTGTGCAAAATATTCTTAACTCTCCCAAAAGATATGCTAATAACTGTGTTAGGATATTTTGCATAGGATTATTATAGTGGAGAAGTTATCTCTTTTAGCAAATATTTTCATGTTGTATGCACACACAGACACACACACAGAGACTCACGCACGCACATATATATATATATATATATGTGTGTGTGTGTGTGTGTGTGTGTGTGTGTGTGTGTGTGTGTGTGTGTGTGTGTGTGTGTGTGTGAAAAGTGTATATAAATATAAATAAATATATATATGTATAATTATTTATATATTATATACATGGTACTCATTAGAAAGCGCTCAATATCAGTCCAACCAAATATATATATATATATATATATATATATATATATATATATACACACTATTGTTCAAAAGTTAAAGAGAACATTGTTAATTTTATAAAATGGTCTCAAAAGTAGTTGTTGTGTACTTTAAATGAGGGAAAATTATTATACAGGGATACTAAAAGTGAGACATGATTTTTATTAGAAATTTTATTATAACAAAATGTAAAAGAAGCATTTGAATATTAAAATTGTTTCTTCTCAAAATATTCCCCTTTAGCCTTCATTACTTCAGTACAAATTTTGGGCATTCATTTCAAAATTTTCTCAAAGTATCGCTTTGATAATTGATTCCATTCTTTTTTCAATGACTCCAAGGTCTGTTTTTCATTCATTTTTTCACCTCCCTTAGTAATTCTTGGGATGGTTTCAAACTTTTGAACTATAGTAAACAAACACACACACACACACACACACACACACACACACACACACACACACACACACACACACAAAACACACACATATATATATATATATATATATATATATATATATATATATATATATATAAAATGTGATTTTACATCAAAAGAAAAATTCAAATAAAATTCTCACTTAAAATTTTGAAAAAACTTAGCGTTGCGTCTTTGCACGTTCCGAGATTGTACACAACCGTCAATAATAGCACATATTAAAAAAAACATCTTTCGGCCGACAAACAATTATTTCGTCTTCAAGTTTTTGATTTTATAAGGAAAACATATGCCTGACGATGAATAAAGGATTATCGAAAGTACTTGCATTTAAAAAAAATATAAACTGGAAACAACAGACAACAGTTTTTTTATAGATGAGGATCACGTCACTCTATGGATTAACAGTATTTTAATGCATACATTATACACTACTAGCGATGGATGTCGCCAATAATAGCGTTAATATTGCTGATTGATTCTATGTGTGATTATTTCTTTGTATATAAATTATATGCTGCCTAATGTTTTATGTTTATATATATATATATATATATATATATATATATATATATAAACGTAATAAAAATGTTCTTAAAATTTATTTTGAAGAGAATTAGATCCTGGATAGATTCTCAAGAATATTAGCCTTGTGTCAGGATTAGATTTACTCAAAATAAAATATTGCCTACGTTGCTGTTTTTCTATGACCTATTTATATGTGGTTCAGTAACAATTCTCCAACATCTAAACATCACCTGAGTAGGATTTTACATGATTTTATTTTCATATTTCTGTTGCATTTTATAGCCACATTCATAACTTTCTACACATTACGATCGTTAAACAGTGTGGATTGGAAGTGGGACTCGCACTTGTACTCAGAGGCCCCAGAGCTTATTCAATGATGAACTAGAAAAAACAACTTGCGGACATCGTCCTACTTGTACAAAATATCTATAAATGAATTAAACAAATTGTTTAAACAAATTGATTAAACAAATACAACATGAAATGTTTGAAGAAATAGGGGAAAATAGAAAGGAATTATCGCAAGCAATAAAACTTAGATATGTTAGACAGGAAAATTCTTATTAGGAAAGAAGGTTGTGATGGAAAAATGCAATTTATTAAGAGTGAATTTGACCCTGAACAGATGCTCAAGTAATCTACCGTTGTACCGAGATTTAATTTACTCAAAGCAAAATATTGCCTACTTTGATGATCTCCATTGAGCTATCTACACTCTGTGTTTTTGTAACAATTCTACAATTTACCAATTATTATTATACAGGCATCCCTCGATTAATAAATTCGATTAGTGCAAGCATAATACTCGATTAACGCGTTTAAACATTCTTCAACCATACTAATTCAGAACTGATTTATTATAATTAACGATTTACAAATTACCCGCACTAATCGAGTGATTCCTGTAATTTGTTCTTTTTTTTTCCTTATTTATGTTTTATTTGACAGCAACATTCCTGACGTAATATATATATATATATATTTCACCCCGATCAAGGCAATAATGCCACTAGGGGCGTTCTGGGTATGGCTATATACTACATCCGGTTTGATCAGGTGACTGGAGATTTTGAGGAGCGTGGAACCACCTCTTAACTGTCGTTGTTCCCAGGTTCATTAACCCGGGAGGATAACCTCTGTTAGGGTCCAAACTATGGGCAAATAGTGAACCCTGAACAAAAATCAACGATGCATTTTTTAGCAAAAAGACAATCAATACAAGACTAAAAATATATAAAATACTTTTTTAATAGAAAAATACCAACATTACATTTTATGGTTTATAAAATATATATTTAAAAAAAAAACACATTATCCTGAAAGTATAAAATTATATACAAAATCTCTGTAGTTGTAAGCATAAAATTACATAAAACATATTTATATTGCGGCATTAGATGACTCGTGGAGATGTTGGTATGTTGCTAAACAAAGTCTCTAGAGAGAAGTATTAAGAAAGAACAATAGAAGGGCATGGCTTAAGAAGACAAAATATGATGATTAGCATTGCATTAGAATATTTGGTTATTTAGGTGGCGGGGAAAGAATGGAGTTCCACAGGCGAGAAAAGAAACTATAAGAGTAGAATAGATTATTGCATCTAGCTAGTTCAACAGTAAAACGGTGAGACCTAGTTGCCAATCTAGTAGTACGTTTGAGGTACCAAGGAAGAGAACTCATTAAAACAATTGCCATGAAAATATTTATGGGAAAAGACCGAGAGAACCTACGACTGAAGCTCAAAATTTAGAACCGATAACTTTACAGACTCTTCTTTGACTTTTCTCAAGAATCTCGCGATATATAGTAGGAGCACTAAACTAGATATAGCAGCAATATTCAATGCACGAATGAATGGCATATGCAAGGTGTATTCTGACGAGTAAAATTGTCTGACACGACACAGTGTACTAACATTCCTATCAGTAGACCTAGCAACTGATTCAATATTTTCCAAGGGGAATGGAAGTAAAAAAAAAAAAAAAAGTCTACGAGGTGATCTGAACGTACATCCCTTATTCTTGGGTCTTCGTTTGATACGGACGGTAACTTAAAACTTTGATCACGGATAACTATCAGTTGTCGACATTGAAATTTAGGTACATTGCTATAATTTATCTAATCTTTTCCACGATTTTTGCCATTTTATACTGTTTGGTTATGTCTAGTGTTCGAGACAATTTTAAGTTACTCGAATTTGTCAAAGTTTAGCGATACATATTTTGAAATAAAAAGTAAAATATCTATCCCTAAAAGTACGAAGCAAAATAATTCCTAGAAGCAATATGGACAATTTCTATATGGGTTTGAAATTCTATATGATTTTGCCTACTTTAAAATCGTACCAAAAACGAATTAGATAGGTAGTTTCTTTCTTGTAAATTTGATTTTACTTTGTACATATATAACTTTATCTTATTTAATTTTTTATAACTGTTCCAATCGTATTTATATTTAATTAATTTAAAATAACGTTTAATCACATATTCCGTAATTAATAGACACATCTACTTATAGGATTTCTTCTTTTCTTTGCCGATTATTCTTGTATATTTCCTGGAAATATTATATTTCTCGGTCCCAATTTTATTCTTTCCTTTTCGCCATTTTTATTCTTTTAATTTTTATAAACCTTCCTTTACATCATTAATATTTTCATTTTTCGGCGTTTCCATTTATTCTCATCGTTGTAATCTTCATTATTTTCCTACTTTCATCACTTCTTGTTGTCACGAACTACATTGAATCTTCTTCTTCATTTGTTATTCTTTTTCCCCGCCGTTCTTCTTTTAAGAACCATTCTCAACGTCATTATTGTCTTTCTTCATTTACGCAGATATTTAGTTTGTACCGTTTTGTTTTCTTCTTCAGTTTAATTATAACCGCTCATCAAAAAATTGCATTTTTCCTATTTCTCATATTAACATTTTTTCATTGTCTTCTGTTTCCTCAAATCATTCTTCTTCTTACTCCCACATTCTTTCTTCTTCTTCTTCTTCTTCTTCTTCTTCTTCTTCTTCTTATTCCTCTCCCTTTTCCTCTTCTTCTTCTTCTTCTTCTTCTTCTTCTTCTTCCTTTTCTTCTTTTTTCTTCTTTGTTTTTTCTTCTTCTTTTTCTTCTTCTTTTTTCTTTCTTATTTTCCTTTTCTTCTTCCTTTTCTTTTTCTTTTCTTCTTCTTCCTTTTCTTCTTTTTCTTCTTCTTCCTTTTCTTCTTTTTTCTTCTTTGTTTTTTCTTCTTCTTTTTCTTCTACTTTTTCTTTCTTATTTTCCTTTTCTTCTTCCTTTTCTGTTTCTTTTTCTTCTTCTTCCTTTTCTTCTTTTTCCTTTTCTTCTTTTTCTTCTTCTTTTTCTTCTGTTTTTTTTACATCATTTTTCTTCTATAAAACATTACAAATTTTTCTTCTTTTTCTTCTTCTTCCTTTTCTTCTTTTTCTTCTTTTTCCTTTTCTTCTTTTTCTTCTTCTTCCTTTTCTTCTTTTTTCTTCTTCTTTTTCTTCTTCTTTTTTCTTTCTTATTTTCCTTTTCTTCTTCCTTTTCTGTTTCTTTTTTCTTCTTCTTCCTTTTCTTCTTTTCCTTTTCTTCTTTTCTTCTTCTTTTTCTTCTGTTTTTTTTACATCATTTTTCTTCTATAAAACATTACAAATTTTTCTTCTTTCTCTTCATTTTCATATTATTATATGCATTCAATATTTTGTTGTTGCTCTTGTATTCATAGTTGTATTATTATTGTTGTTGTTATTATTATTACTATTTAGATATTCCTCTTTTGTAGCCTCCAAAACTGATTTTTTTCTTCTTGTTTATATCATACCTCTCTTTCCTCATATGGCAAACTACTTTGTCCTCCTTTTTTCTCCAAACTTTACATTCTTTCTTTCCTTTCTAGCATCACACTCTTCTTTTTCTACTTCAACATCTACTAATAATACTACTACTATTACTACTTATACTACTAATATTCCTTCCTTTTCTTATTAATTTTCCTATCTTTAAATTTTACCTCATTTATCTCGCCTTTGATGTCAACTTCTACTTCTCCCAATTTCCCTCCTCCCCATCAGCTTATTCTTCTTCTCCTCCACTAACTCATTCTTCTTCACCATTCTTAGCTTCTTTTTTTCTTGTTCTTTTCTTTTTTCACATTCTCTACATTCGTCTTCTTCTTCTTCTTCTTCTTCTTCTTCTTCTTCTTCTTCTTCTTCTTCTTCATTTTTCTTGTCTACCTCATCCTTCACCTTTTTCATCTTTTTGCCTTCCTCTCCAACTTTTTGTTCTAGTCCACCTCCATCATATTATTCTTTGTTTTCTTCTTGCTCACGTCCTCAAATTTCTTCTTCTTCTTCTTCTTCTTCTTCTTCTTCTTCTTCTTCTTCTTCTTCTTCTTCTTCTTCTTCGTATTATTATTATTTTTATTATTATTATTATCCTCTACCTCCTCCTTCACCTTTGTCTTCTTTCTGTTCTCCTCCATCTTCGTCTTCTTCTTCTTGCCCACCTCCTCTACGTCATTCTTTTTCTTCGTCTTCTTCACAACTCTTGTTATTCTACTATTGTTATATTATCGATAATTCCATTATTTTTGTTTTCTTGTTATTGTTGCTCTTCTTCTTCCTGTCACTGACGTTCCAGTTGATTTTATTACTACGTTTATCCACGTCACATTCTGCATAGCATTTCCCTCTCTCCACCTACATAACCTTCATCTTTGTCAGTATCCCACAAATTTCTTCTTCTTCTTCTTCTTCTTTTTCTTCTTCTTCTTCTTGTCTTGTGATAATTTCACTAGCTCCTCTCGCCCACTTGTGTCGCCCGTAGCCCTTCTCTCGAGACTAGTCTTCCGTCTTCCTCCAATTGGTGTCCACCCATCGCTCACCAGACCCTTACGCGGCCCGAACCTTCAACTCAATTCTGCTTGGTACACCTGGCCATGTCGCAGACACAGACAATGAGCCCTTCCGCTGTCCGCCTCACCAGCACCGTTGTAGCTTCCACTTTTAACGCCAATACTGCCAGATATGACAAGGACAAGCACCTCTCAGAAAAAAAAATCTGTTAAAAAAAAAAGAAAAAAAGAGAAATATATTAATAAGGAAATAAAAAAAAAATGTTATCAGCGTAGGCAGCGGGGGGAAAGAAACGGTTAAGACGGGAACTGTTCTTTAGTACTAGATAGCGAGAGTGATAGAGATAGAGAGAGAGAAAGCGCTTACACAAGAGGGAGAGAGTACGTAGCTTAGGTTATATTTAGGGTTAGGGTGAAGAGTTAACTGAAGAAGTGCAAGGAGTGTAGAAAGTGAAGGGCGAAAAAATAATTCACATGCGTTTAAAAAAGACAAATATATATTGTAAAAATACAAGTGCTGAGGGGTTGGGTTGGTCATAGTGAGGTATTTTTTAGGAGTTGATAGTGATGTTTTATGGGGTGGTTGGGCGGAGGCTGTCTTATGTTGTAGTGGGTGGGAAAATGCGATGGTGGTAATTGTGGAGTGATGTATGGACTGGAGTGGACCTGGCTCTAAGGGCAAGAAGCAGAATGATGGAGGGCGGCAAAAAAAAATCGACGTTGATGATGCTTGGGATGATGATGAGATGGGAGAAAGACTTAGTAAGAATTTTTAATTTTAATATGGTTTATGTCTTGGTGAGGGAAACACTGGTAAATATAACGAGAGTAACAGCATCAGACAATTTGCAAAAACAAGGGAAAATGTTATAAGATACAATACACTTAATTTTTAAGTTAAAAATATATTTCACTAAACGTTGTAATTAATTAAGTGGAAATAAGTTTGAAAAAAAAATAAAAACTTTAGAAAAATATTTTATTTGTCAGTTATATTTTCCATTATATAAAATGTATTCTTCAATAAGTGTGCAATCATGGCTTCTAAGAATTTCTTCTCCTTTTTTCGCCCCTCCATTTACACAAACTTGTTAAGTTATTTGTTGCTTTTATTTCTCTCAATGATTTTCAATATATATTATGAGTTTTATATTCACCATGCCTTCTTTTCTCATTATATATTCATGAGGAATACGTTGGTAAATATAACGATCTATCCTGGCTATGACGAAAAAATACATCCGCGTCCAGGGTAAGACGATAAACTACGTCCAACAGCAAAGTCCCTGATCAGGACCATGGAAACCACCTCTTAATTGCTGGTGTTCCCAGGTCCACCCTGAACCGGGGTGGTAGCACCTGTTAGGGTTCCAGCCATGGGCAAATAGTTAACCCAGAAACTGAGGTAAAAATCACTATGACAATGTAACAAATAGGTTTTACTATTAGAAATTTTTGAAGAAAAAAACTATTACCAGCAATACGTTTTTTTTTTTAAAAAACATATTGCCAACTATACATTTTTAATGAAAACAAAATATTACCGCAAATAGATGTTTGACAAAACAAAATATTATCAACAAAACAGATGTCGACATTAAATAACGCATTGAGGTTGATATGCCGTAAAAAACAAAACAAACAAACGAATATAACGATATTGATAGCGTCAGATAAACTACGAAAACTAGAGGAAATGTTATAAGATGTATTTAAGTTAAAAAAATATCTTTAATAAAAGTTAGAAAAAATATTACTTTCATAAATTAGAAATATACTTGAAAAATAACTTCATAAAAAGATTATATTTGTTAATTATATTTTCCGTTTAATAAAATGTATTCTTCCATATGCTGAGAAACTTCAGGACGTGTGCCATCATGGCTTCCCAAAATCTCTTCTGCTTCGATTCACCCGCCATTTACATAACTTCTAAGCGTGGTTATTTGCTACTTTTCGCTGTTCCTCTTAATTTCAAAATGTATTATGAGTGTTATATTTTACAAACCTTCTTTTCCCATTATGGGTTCAAAAAATTTCAGTTGTCTCTTTCTTATTTTATAAACAATTGGCTTTTTTTATTTTCATTTTACTAAAAACTTCCTCGTTGACTTACATGCTTCGTCCATGTTATACTCAACATTCTTCAAGAGAAAAAAAAATATCTCTTAAGTTTTGACATAAGCTGTGAGGAAATGGTCCAGTATACACTGCCATATATAGCGGTAGGTGAGAAGTCATTTCTTTGATCCTAACGAAGTTTTCCTGTGTCTTAAGGTACGGTGGAGTAATGGATATCGGCTTGGATTGAGGAATCGGAGAGCCGAGTTGGAATTATAGTCGGATGCATTACATTCAATGTAAGTTACGTGCTAATACCCTTAGGAATGTTATGAATATTCTCTGAGTAAAAGAAAGACAGACTGGATTCTATAGCCTTGGGTGGCAACCGATCTTGGTGAAAATAATTCTAAATTGGAAATTTTATGTAACCCTGGTTACATCATACTATAGCGTACTTATAGTTGGAAGCCTCCTGCGACGGGGCTGGTTGCCAATCTGTCCTTCTGTTCCTTTGGATTCATCAGCGACGTGAAGAGAGGTGAACGACAGAGGCTCATATATATATATATATATATATATATATATATATATATATATATATATATATATATATATATATATATATGAATACGTTTAGTTTCTGAAGACTCCTTTTTTCTACTTTTACTCAATGCACCTTCGAAATTTGGTATCACATTTCCTGTCCTTTAAGTAATAAATTGTACTTGTCACTTGCAAGACATTATGTTACTTAATTACCAAAATATAAGATAAAATTACAGTATATAACGTATTGCGTGACTTAAAACGTAAATAAGTATTGTAGCTGTGGCATCCTTCAGATACAGGTAAGAATTAACATCGTGGTAGCAACTCCGATAGGGTTTTTCTGCAGGAAGTGTTGCAAGATATGCCATATATATATATATATATATATATATATATATATATATATATATATATATATATGAAAAAAATATGGAAAAACAAAAATCAGAATATGCAAGAATGCTGTTTTAATGTTGTTTCAATGTCGACGTCAGACGTTTCGGTCTAGTAGACCTTCTTCAGGACATAGTTATTAAACAGCTGTTGAGATGTTGTGAGTTTCCCGCGTGTCGGTGTATGAATCAAGACAAACACAGTTGTAGAGGAAAATACTGGTATATTCATAAAAGCAATTAACAATAGAGTGATTAGTAGAACGAAGGTTGGTTAGTACGAAACAATATCCAAAGTCTATAGTCCAACGGTATGTACCGGGTAAGCTTATCTGGACTGCTCACGCTGACTCTCCCCCCCTGACGCTCTCTCTGACGCTCTCTCACTCTCTCTCCAGAGCTGACTTATATAAGAGGTACCAGTCCATTTCTAGTTAGAAGGTGGGTGCGCCCCAACAACAGCATACTTGCATATTCGGATTTTTGTTTTTCCATATTTTCTTCATACTGTCGCATCTATATCCTCATATTTGCTTACATTATTTAATGAAACGTATATATATATATATATATATATATATATATATATATATATATATATATATATATATAGTAGCAAGAATGATAACTACCAACCGTAAGAAGATATCCTTTAATCATCACTCATTCCAATCATGTGAAAATGCCTTTCAACACATCATTATTGATTGATTCGCTTTGTATGTCTTATGAGACCTTTTCAGGTTATTTTAAACCTTAATCTTTTGTATTTTGTCATTTTTATATATATATATATATATATATATATATATATATATATATATATATAATAGTATTTATAAGTAATACAAGTTATAATAATTAACCCATAGCTGGAGGGAAAAGAGGTTCATTCATACCTTTCCCAATAGTATTTGAGCGTTAGTGAATATAAAGAACTCAACGGGAATTGGAACTCGGCTCTCCGATTAACAATTCTGAGCCATTATTCATTACACCACCCGCACATTCAGGTTGAGAGCACTTAGTATTCCCAAGTGATAACCCTTTTAGGTACGGACCTGGCTCGAATTCCACGGTGTTTTGTACTCGTCGACTAATAACGGTGCCGAGGAACATGAGGCTCTGTATTCAGCCTGTCATCAGCTGGTTTTGCAAGCTGTTCTTTTTACAGTGATGTTCGCACTCTACAAGAGCGACTCGAGGTAAAAGTTTACAGAGTAATAGGCACAGTTTATGGTCGAGTCTCGGTAATGCTGTCGTGATTGTAAAGTTATAGCTAGACGCATAGAGATGTTATGCAATGATATTCTCAAGTGAGGTCTTTATTATATCACTACCAATCTCAATGACATTATTCGACGGGTTCGAACTCGATAATCATATATTTTAAGTAAGGAGCATTTAAAACGATTTTGCATAGTAAATTCTCTATAAATTGAAGATACCATTTGTATTTAATTTAAGTCGCAGTTATAATGTTCTTATGATGAAAAGAATTAAATAGAAGGCAATTTTTTTTATATTTTGCATCAACTATACATCAGCATCGACATTCGTAAATGAATGCTTATATAGCAATTGACTCAATGCAATCAACTGAAATACATTGTAATTTCTTAAGGATACTTAACGAGAAATTAGAATTGACTTTTGTTTTACTAAAATATTTCAATACAATATCATTAATCGTAACGAACTGAAATCAATACATCAACTTAAAATCTAGATTCATGTTCTTAAATAGTCTCGTCTGATCGAGACTGTCATACGGATCTCATGCATGACGTCAAACCCGTTCAGAATTACGTAAAATCTCAGCTGTATTCAAACTTTTTTCTAGTAAAGTAACAAAGAACTGTACCAAATAAGAGAAACTACATCACATTACGATGACGAATTACACACACATCTAAAATGGCTAGCACATGCAACTCAAAGAGAAAATAATGACATCATCAAACTGTTAATATTCCACGCTACTTCAGATAAAAGGTTAGGAAGGAAACTTCCATCAACACAGAAAAGAGCTATAGCAGCTCCTGGACTTGAAAAAATGTTTTCCTGAAAACATCATTCCAAGAGAAAGATTTTATAAATT